TGAACTCAGCTGTGCCAGAACAAAAGTAGCTGCTACCAATGCAGCTATTTCTGAAATATGATATATGGCCATAAGCATGTTCAGTCTGGTAGGGCTGTGTRTCTCAGGCAAATTACTGGTGTCCTGTGTGACTGCAGGTAACCTGCAAAGGGCGAGCTCTTCATCTCCTTGTGCTTCTGTACCCAAGCTGAAAGCCGGGGACAGATGGTTTCCTTCCTCTCAGAAGCTGTCTGTCTGAAATACTGCGAATCGGCAGGCTACCCTGGAGCCCTCAGGGGWGGTCTGCCTTTCCCTGGGGGTGCCCCACAAACCTCCCGGGAGCATTAGTTCTCAGCTTCTCTCTGTGAATGAGAGCGGATGATGACACTTGATGTGGGCGCTGCTGCTGTCTCTGATGTCTGGGCGGGTGCTGTGAGTCACAAGCACCAGAGCCTTTGCCCATGGGATCGAGGCATGTGGAGCAKGGGGGTCTTTCTTTACTGGGTTTTCAGTCCTTCTCCTGGGTGAATGATGTTGTAATCAACCCTTTTGGGAGCTTTTATCCTGACTGTGAAGATTTTCTGTCACCGMCGAGTATCTTGTTCAGAGAATCTTTTCGCTAGAGAGACCCAGGCTGCTTGTGAGCGAATAACTAGGAGGCAGAAATCCACATGGCTTGAGTCAGTCCCGGTTCCCTGCAGGCAGCCTTGCTTGTACTTGCTCCCSATCACTCATTTGCAACTGGGCGGCTCTGGCTGGAGGTAAGGGCAGGAGACCGGACCCCGTCCTGCTTGGAGAGCCCAGCTCCCRGTCCTTGGTCAGCACTCAGCCTTTGGGAAGGAGCCGTTGTGTTGCTGGATTTGCGAGGGAGGGCAAGGCGGCAGTTTGGCCCCCTTGCAAGGGCGAGTGAGTCAGCAGCAAACAGACACCCGTAGCGGTGTCAGCTAGCGCCCGGTGGGACGTTGCCATGCAAAGTGAGGTGGTGTTTGCCGACAGGCCTGCGTGTGCGTGTGTGCCTCGTGTTTGCTCAACACTTGAGCATTTTTAGCAACAAAGAGCCACATATTTCTGTGCGGTRCAGAGGAAGGTTTCGGGACAGAGCAGATAAAATAGATGAATGGAGACTGATTTATCACAGTCTCCAGATGGCGGCTGAGCCTGATGAAGGGGAAAAAAAAAACAACAACAAGAAAAACAACAACAAAAATCACCAGCGAAAGCAGAGGGTCTTGCTAAAGCCTCTCTTCCCTCAAGATTGCCTTACTTAAGCCAGCTCAGGAGTCCAGTGGGGCCYGGAGAGGATGTGTCTGTCATTGGCCCCCAGAGGAGATCAGCATGGGGGCTGATTTGGGGTGAAGTGAGAATCCTGTGACTTCTTTCCTCACTCTGGAGGGTAGTACTGCTCTCTCTGTGAGAGTAGCTCTGCACCCCAAAGGGGATGTACCCCTCAACTTTCAGCCCTTTATTCCTAGGAAAAGGTTGTAGTTGGGACCTATCCAAACCTTTCAGTTCATACCTCAGGAGTGTTTCATGCTCTCGCCTCCTACACCTGTTTTCATTTCTTCACTTTTTTTTTTTTTTCTCATTTTTTTTAGGGAGAAGTTTCCATATAGAGGTGGGGACTGGAAGCTGCAGTGGCAAGAAAGGGAGGGAATCCCCTTTTAGAGACATGGGGAATCCCATTCCCACTAGGCGCAGGGAATATTTTAGCAGAGGCAGCAGCAATGTAGCAATTCATGTCATGTCACGGCCTGTGGTCTCCAGGGCCCAGGAAGGAGGCACAGCACTGCCCAATGTTAAACTTTAAGCCACCTGAGCCATGCTGTCTGGTTAAAACAGGAGCATAGCTACCAAAGTGTTGGTAGTCGAGCTTGTGCTCAAGCTTGAGCTAAGACCTTGTGCTACGTGTCCTTGCTAAGAGCTTCTGCTGTCTGTCCTAGCCATGGGGGCATACCCGTGAGGTCTGGGATGTGATGAAGTTGTAAGTGATGGAAGTGAAATGGGATTGCTGGAGGAAATGGGTAAAACTTAAGCCTTGGAGGGGGGAGTATGTGATGTTACATGAACTGAAACCCTGTGTCCACTACTGCCCTCCATCTCCCCCAGACCTCTTCTAGTCTGGGAGTCACAGCACAGCTTTGGGCAGTCGGGTACACAGCAAGGGTGGAGGTTATCCTGTATGGGCTCTTYGGGTTGCTGTGTGCATGAAAATGTGCTCTTGGGACTACATTGGCTGTTTAGGTCAGGGAGGAAGGAAAATTTCCCTRCACCTGCCTCGGCTGCCAGGGAGCATCAGCAGGGGTGGTCAAGCAAGAGACTTCCGTGTGGGGATGTCTGCACACCCAGATGCACCCACAGACACTACTGAGGACCAGAAGTAAAGCCGTGGGGTCACTTATTGGTCTGGATCAGGTCTCTTGCAACCTGCCCCCCTGGCCAGCCCCTACTTTCTCCCCTTACCCCAACCTCCTTCCCTCCAGAAGCAGCCCCATGCCAAGGGTGGCCAGGCATCAGTTTCTGAAGCCCGGGGAGCYGGGCAGCCGCTTCCCCGGCCATGGAAAGGTGAAGCCGGGTGAGTTTCACAAGAGGGGATGCCGGGGAGCCACATCCTTCCGGAGAGCAGCCGCGGGCCGGCGGGGGAGCCGGCGTGGGGGCACAGGGAGGGCACAAAAAGCCTCCCCGCCGGCTGTGCCAGGTGAAAAGCGGGCGCTCGGGGAGCGGCGGGATCCGCGGCGCCCCGGGGGCTGCCCCGCTGCTCCGCTCGCCTCCCCTGCGCGCGGGGCCGCCGCTCCGGTGAGTGTCCCGGGGCCGCCGCTCCGGTGAGTGTCCGCGGGGCCGCCGCTCCGGTGAGTGTCCCCGGGGCAGCCAGCGGGGCGGCGGCCAGGCCGGGCCAGGCCGGGCCGGGCCGCGCGGAGCCGCCCGGGGCTGCCGGCTCCCTCCCCTGGCGGCCGGGCGGAGGAAGGGAAGGAGGGAGGGAGGGAAGGAAGAAGGGAGGGAGGAGGAGGAGGAGGAGGTAAAGGTGCAGCGGGGTGGGCAGGGCGCTTCACACACACCTGCGGCGCGGCGGCATGGCAGGTAAGGCGGGAGCGGCGCGGCCCGGTTCGGTTCGGCCCGGCGGCGGCCGCGCTCCTTCCCCCGGCTCCCGCGGCTCCGCGCGGCCGCTCCCGCCGTTCCCGCCGCCGCTTGGGAGCAGCCCCCGGGCCGCCGGGCGCAGCGGGAGGCGGCGGCACCGGCACCGCTTGCTTTTTGTTCGGTTGTTTCTCTACCGCGCTGAGTTTCGGGGGTGGCGGTGGGAGGAAGAGTTGTTCCTCTTGTGCGCCTCTTTCCCAAGCTACTCTTCGCTCCTCAGGGTTCAGCCTCCGGCCCGTCTTTCCCGGGAGTCCATCCKTGTCTTCAGGCTCACCAAGGGGGAAGGAATGGGGCAAACAGGGCGCCTTCGGTCAGGGCCAGCACCCGGGTCCGGAGGGCCCGCACCGGGTTGCAGGTGCCAACACTGTCCCCTCTGCCCCCGCTCTCTGCCAAGCCTCCAGTGCCAAGAAGCTGGTTGCACACTTTTCCTGCCCCCTTTATTTTAATATATATATATATATATTCACGTGAGGAACACTTTGATTTAATTGCATAAATCGGCTGCCAAGGAGCAAAGCTCAAAATGGGAGGCAAAGTTTGGAACCCAGCACACATTCCGCTACCTGTTGTTGCACCACRCTTTTCATAATTGCCCCTCTAGCAAATGAGTGTGTCACGGATGAGAGAGAACTTCAGGGAAAAAAAAATCATTTTCCATCCTTTTTTTCATCCTGCTTATCAGTAGGATGGTCCAAATCTGTACCGGTCTTTAGGCTCCTAAGCCCTTTGGTGCTGAGAATCAGCTCCTTGAGGTGTTTTTGTTGTTGTTATTTGTTTGTTCTGTTTTTGGCGGACTCAACAGTTCCCCCTTCCTTTTATCCTGCATGTCACAGACCCTGAACCATCCCTTTACTTGGAGGATTAGCTTCTGCACAGCTCTCTGTCAGACTCCTTGGCACACTGTTTGGCTGTCTAAAATAGTGTGATATCATTCTCAGAACAGGGAGGGGAAGGGGAAGGAAAAAAGAGTAGGAGATTTATTCCTCTTTGCCTTCATGCAACAAGAAGGCCTTCACTGCTGCAGAGGTTATTTGCATGGCTTGAATTGGAAAGCTGGACTTGGTGCCAGCAACAGAGTGGAAAGTATTGGTGCAACCGGGGAGGAAAAATAGGTGCCAGGTCTCAGAAGGTCCTTGCTGTGTTTTGGCTTGTGAGCTGAGAAGATTTGTGCTGGCCTGTGAAGCTTTATTTCTCAAGTGAAAATTGATGTGGTGGTTTTGTTGATACCCAGCTGGGAAGAGTTCTCCGTGTTTAATCACAGCCAGCATGACTTAATGGAGCAGGTTCATCACTGCTGTAGGGGTGTCCTTCATCCACTGGCTTCAGCGGATTTCTGTCTGTTTTAGCTGACAGAGACATTACCTTGTTGAGTGTTTCCAGCACCCAGGAGCAACGTGTGGAAGATGCAGGGAATTCCTCCYTGGCTCTAAAACATTGAGCCAAGCTGCTCTGTGGTATCCTGCCTTCAAGAAGTTCAGTTTGGTTACTGAATCTTGAGGCATGCACAGAGGAAATGGATCCCTGAGGAAATCCACCTGTGTACAATCAGTGTAAGGGAGCATGTCATAGAATCCCTCATGTAGATGTAGAATCCCTCATTCCTGAAGCAGGGATGAGGAAAAAAGGTAGGATGACTGATGGTCTGGAGGAGTTTTTTCTAGGCTTCTTGCAATATGTGATTCTTACTCCTATAGGCACCACTGCTTTCTGCCTCTTGTGAATGTAAGGCCCTAGGTTGACATTTCAGGATCCAGACAACCAGACTGGTAATTTAAATGGCCTCAGAAATAGTTGGATTCTATTGCAGAAGAACCAAAGCATTCATGGAGTCATACTGTGATTCATGTTCTCCCATGCCTTTTTCTCTGTGCTGTTCCACTGTSTGTCCTCAGACTTTCTCTTTTTCCTTTTATTCTTCAAGCCCTGGAGAATGGCCCTGTCCAGAGCTCCAGTCTCTCAGAGCAGGAGGAGGAGGAAGAAGACACCCTCTGGGAGAAAATTGAGAGCGCACGGCACCAGCTGACGCGCTCCCTGAACCCTGCAAAGCTCACCCCGTACCTGCGCCAGTGCCGAGTGATAGACGAGCAGGATGAGGAAGAGGTGCTGAACTCGTGCCGATTCCCTTGCAAGAGCAACCGCACAGGTGGGAGGAAGCACAGACTTGTGCTAAGTTGGGCCTGGTTTTTAGGGAGAACCTGTTTTTGACAAAGAGAGGATACTCTTCACCACGTGTTGTTCTGGCCTTATGACTCCCTCCCGCTGCAGTGCTACTTGGCTTTGTTGTTGACTGGGATGCTCTGTGGCCAGATCTTCTTGTCCTCTGTGGGGACTCCCTGTGTGCCTGTATACAGGCAACTTTCCCACCTCAGTCCCATCTCCAACCTGTCCTTCCTGTGGAGGGCAGCAGACTTGGTGGAAGGCTTGGCTATTTTCTATAATAAGGTTGGGCTATGTTGTTGTTCTCTGGTTTGCATGGAATTCGTCCTACCCCTTTATCCCTTCTTCCAGGTTACCTGATGGACATCCTTCGGCGCCGTGGGAAACGAGGCTACGAAGCCTTCCTGGAATCCCTGGAGTTTTATTACCCGGAGCACTATACCCGGCTAACAGGGAAGGAGCCAGCCCAGCGCTGCTCTATGATCCTGGGTAGGGGCAGGTGCTCCTTCTCCTTTTAGTTGCTGCTTGCATTGGGAATGTCAGAAATAAGTGTATGTGCATGCTTGTGCATAAAACCCTGGCTACCTGCTARAAAAAGTTACCTGCTTTTGAGGAATCCTGACATCCTCTGCTCTCRATTTTGCTGGGGGGCAGTGGCATGAGTATGTGTACATAGGACCATGGTGCCATAAGTACCAGGGTGAGGAAGGCTGCACATCTCAGGAGGCCATACTATCTTTGTTGGATATAGTAATAGGCCAATATGCTTACTGTTTTTTGGGGAATTACCCCTGTCTAAGCAGCCAGGACATGATTCTCCTGTCTCTATCCCAGATGAGGAAGGCCCTGAGGGACTAACTCAGTTCCTGATGATGGAGGTGAAGAAGGTGAGGGCTCAGCGGAAAGAGCAYCTCCTGAAGGAACACCAACTCCAGGTGAAAAACCAGACCTTGGAGCAAGAACAGGCTCGGCTGGAGCAGCGGCTGCAGGAACTCCTGAAGGTGCAAGAGCGTTGCCAACAGCTTAGGGAGGAGTGGGACTCCAACAGTCTGGAGCTGCTGAGGCTCAAGGATGAGAACTACATGATGGCCATGCGCTATGCTCAGCTCTGTGAGGAGAAGAACTTGGCTGTGCTGCGGAGCCGGGACCTGCAGCTCACGGTAAGGCACCAGGGAGTGTGGGGGCATGTCTTGTCAGCAAGTGGGGCAGGAGACTGGGGGTTTGACAGTCATTGAGGAGGTGAATGTGGTGGTGCAGCTGAGAGGGGTSTATGTGGATGTCTGCGCATGGTGGCATTTGAACATGAAGGAGCTGATCTGTTGTATAGCTGAACATATGCCAGGATATATGGATACATGTTGATTGGATGGGTCTTCATGAGGAGTGTGCTGCAAGCATGGCAGAGTGGCCAAGTCGCAGGCATGGCATGTGAGACTTGTGTTGTTGGCTTTCACCTTTTCAAATATTGCTTTCCATTATTTGGTGTGTTTGTGCAGCATTGCACTCTGATTCAYGTGTACTCGATGCAGCTGGTCAGCCTGAACTGTTGTACCTCATTTCGTGGGCCCCATCTCAGGAAAGAGGTGGTGGTGCCGTGCTGTGACTGCAGATGTGTCATGTAGAGAAGCCTGAAACAACTGTTCAGAGGAGCTGTCGGGGTGACACCCTTTCCAGGGGTGGCCTTGTGCTCTTTCTGCCTGGCTGCTGTTACTGTAAGGTGCATTGTTTGTTTCTGCTTGTATTTTCTACCCTGTCAACCTGTGCTGTGTGCTCTGCCAGTGGACACCTGTGTTGTATCCCATCAGCACAGACATGTGGTGGACAGCTAGTTCTTTCAACTTGCATGTTATTGTGGTTGTGTTTCTTCCTTTCCCAGGAAAGGGCTTGCACTCCCTTTTCCGAATGGTGATCAGGGTTKTGCATCTGTCTGTACGTGAGGCTCTAGGTGTGTGCATGCTGCGTGGAGCTGCCCAGCAGCCCTTGCTATGCGTAGGACTGTTTTGGCCCAGAGTCCATCTCCACCACTTCCTCATCCCTTTGGCATTTCAGAGGCTCATACTGCATGCCTGAAGGAATTCATGACACTGCATTCCAGCTGCCAAGCTCTCACCTCCATTAAATGCACCCATTTCCTGTCTGGGCAAGGACGGCTCTACCTTGAGCCTATTTAAAACTCTTCCTCTGCTGCCTTGTGGTATTTCCCACGCCAGTCTAGGCCCGGGCTTCTTGCACAGCCCTGCAGGTACCTTTCATTCCTTCTGGTTTGCCAGCACTGGAATCCCCTCCTGCCTTTTTTTTTCCAGTGTTCTTGCCAATGACAACTCTCCTGGGTATTTTCTGAACAGAGGTGGATACCCTGTGGGTAACTAGTGAGGAGAAATTGCTATGAAGTCCCAACGTGCCTTTCCCTCCTGACTGCTGCCACTCTAAGGTCCAGAAGTGACTAGTCCTGGGAGCAGTGACTAGTCCAGATCTGCAGAATTGATTCAGACTCTGTATTCATTCTTGGGAATCTTGACAGTGCTTATTAGTGTTCATAAAAGCACTATAAAAGTGCTTTTTAGCACTTTTTAGCACTATAAAAGTGACTTTATATCTTACCCCAACCCCCTATGCTCTCAAAGCCCACCTGGTTCTGAAACTGCTTTACTGATTTACCTCATCAGCAGGTCTTTGGGGACTGTGTCTTAAACGTAAAAGTAATCACCTTCTGTGTCCTGTGCCTAAGAAATGTCTGACCAGGGAGCTTGGGCTCATGTCTCCTCCTGCTTCCAGCCCCTGAGCTTCTGGTTGTGGGTTGTATGCGTGCTGAGGAATCGCAATGTTGACGTGAGAATGGTCAGACAAGGCCAGCATGAACTTCCATGTCACCCAGCACCCTATCTCTAGTGATACATTGATGAAAGAGTGTGAGAGTAGGCAAGTGTGAGATGATACATGTGTGAAATCCTGCAGCCTATAGTGATTTGATGCTCGCTTCCCAGGCCAGAGGTGCTCCCCTGTGCTGAACAGCCTTCCATCGTTTTTTCTGCTGTGATTTTTTTTTCTCAGATGTTCTTGTTAGAAAGCCCTGTGAGACTGTCACAGTTGCTGGTCTTGACAGCACCTCAGAGGGCCCTGCCCCATGTGGGATCAGGGTCAGCTGCTCTGTGGATGCTTGAAGGTAGCAAAAAAGTTGTTGCTCAAAGAGGGGCTCCTGAGATTGACAATATTTACAGGAAATAAAAATGGTGCAAATGCATCTTCCTCCTATGCCCTGCAGTGAAAACCTTGTATGTGCAGTTGTGTTCACCTTACCCCAGCTGTAGGGTACTCTTTCCCTTGGTTTCTCAGCTCTCATATTCCTTGCCTAAAGACCAATTTTCTGCCCAGCTTCCTCTCTGCTTCATTCCCCTCTAAAGCAGAGGTGCTTGCAGGAGGGGGTGGCAAACTGTGTTTCTTCTCTGTGTTGCAGGTGGACCAGCTGAAATGCAAAGTCACCAGCCTAGAAGAAGAATGCAGCCTGCTGAGGAAACAGGTCTCTGCACAGCCCCAGCGAGAGGCAGAGGAGCGGAGCTACCCTGACACAGTGTCTGAGCTGTGGGCTGAGAACCAGCAGCTAACAGCATCGCTGCAGGAGCTGCAGGGCATGCTCAAGGTATCTCACAGGGCAGAGCAGGCTCCAGGCCATCTTCTCTGGTTGTGCTTGCAGTGAAATGGCTGGAAAGAAGGGGGCAATTGCTATCACAGCCTAGCTGGCTGCTTCCTCTGGGCCTATGGCTTCCCTGTGGTGACTGCTGTTGCTGTTGCCCCTGGGTCTAGGGCAGTGACTTGTCCTTGTTTGCAGGTATCTGCCTCTTAGGTGTGCTCACACACGTGACTTTGTGCCTCTAGCTGTGGACTGTGAGGGTCARCCTCATATACTGAGAGGAACTACAGTATATGGGGTGAGAGAGGCCGGAGCTGTAGCCTTCGTGCAGACGCTGCTATTTGGCCTAGGCCCTCATAGGGGCCGTACTTTGGTCATGGGACTGGAAGGACCCAGCTGATTCTAGGACTCCCTGTAGCACCTGGGAGGTGTGACCTCACACTAGCCCTCAAGATGGGTGCTATGGAGCTCAAAAAAACAGAGGTGCCTTGTAAATCTCAATGTAATGGTTGTCTGGTCCTTCACTTGGTTATCCCTGGCAGAACAGTTCTTTATCTGCTGTGTTCTGGGAAGAGACTTCAGAGAGATGTTTCCTCTCCGTTGACCACGGTGGACTGTGATTTTACAGATCTTGCTTGTATGCCCCTCAGCTGCTGCTTTTCTGACTTGGCACAACCCAGCCTACTCATCTGTTCCCTGTAGAGGGACTACTCCGTGCTCTGACCTCTCATCTTGCCTGGATTGTTGCCAGTCCTCCTGACTGCTTGGAGGAGATGGGAGGACTGGAGCTGCACACCGTACTCGGGTTGTGAGTGCATGGTAGATTTATACAGTAATGATGACCATAATATTGCCAGTCTACCTGTAGTTCACCTGCTGACCCAGAAGCTTACCTGGTCTGATGCTCCAACAGTGCTTGTAGTGACRTGATGGTACCATCTCTCCTCCTAGATGCCAGGTGAGGGCCCAGTGCCAGGCTCTGAGCAGATCTTGCTGGACATCCTGGAGCATGACTGGAAGGAAGCTCAAGACGATCGTCAAGATCTCTGCCAGAAACTCCACTCTGTGCAGAACGAGCTGCAGTGGGCTGAAGAGCTGAGAGATAAGGTATTATATCCCTTGCTACTTCCATTTCTGCATGGGCAGCCAGGCATGGAAGGGAGGGGAGGGAAAGGTCAGGGAAGCCACGCTACCCGCTTCTGGGAGAGCTAATATTCACTGATCACTCTTACCAGTACCTCCAGGAGGTGGAAGATCTGCAGCTGAAATATCGGACGCTGCAGAAGGACTGTGATCTCTACAAGCATCGGATGAACACCGTGTTGCTGCAGCTGGAGGAGATCGAGAAAGAGCGGGACCAGGTGAACTGTCTCTCCCAGCATTTCCGGAGTTCACCTCCCAGCGACATCAGGGCTCTTTTCTCTGCTGYATATACCCCGCGGCTGATATTCTTCAGTCCTTTCTCGACTGATATTCTTCAGTCATGCCAAAATGGGAAGGGGGGGGATTACTGTTGCAATCCTGTTAATTGCAGCTTAGCTCCTTGCAGGCTATCCAGAGCCGAGATGGGGTGCAGCTGCAATACTCCCAGAGTCTGATTGAGAAGGACCAGTACCGCAAGCGCGTGCGGACCCTGGAAGAAGAGAGGGATGAGCTCCTAAGCAAACTGAGCCAGGCAGAAGGGCTGAACAGCACGCTGGAGGCCCAACTGCAGCGATGCCAAGGCAGCCGCAGCCTTGGCAAGGTGAGGGAGGCTGGAAGGGAATGGAGAAGGGGAATGGAAGAGGGAGAGACACCAGGGCTATTTCTTGGGGTTTGCAATGGGATGATGGGTCCCTTCTCTCCTAGATGTGCAGCTCTTCCTACTCCCTGTGCTCCAATCTCAGCAGCAGCTGGAGCCTCATAGACAAGCCTTCCAGCCTGACAAATGGGTTTGTGGAAGCCCTGGGAGGTTCTGCCATCCCGTTTCTGGGGGATTCTGCTATTCAGAGCATGGTGAGTGCTTGACCAGGGGATGTTGGCCTGAGCTAAGGACAGCAGTGACCCACACATCTCTGGAACGACACAGAAGCATAGGACCAGTCTGAGACTTGCTGTAGGAYGTGGAGTGGGGCAATGTCTTAACACTGGGAGCAAAACTGAGGAGTGAACCTTTGTCAGTAATAAACCAACTAATGCTGTGCTGAAGTGTGTAGTACTTCACTAGCTGGGAAGTAGTGGTGAATGAGACTTCTTTCTGTGTGACGTGCCAAAAATCAGCTGCCCCATGTGAGCTGGGTTTTTTTTTCTACATAATTAGGGGAGAAATCCTAGCTTTTCTGAATTCTATAGCAAACAATTCTGTTGTTTTTAATGAAGCCATGTTCTTACTGAAGTCTCTGACTCTGAATCCTCGTCATATAGCATGCTAAATTGGGTAGTCACAAAGGTTACACCTCTAGGTGTGCYATGGTTAAGAGCAAGTTATAAGGACATGGTAAGACTGATTGCTTCATTAGATATTAGTCCTATTGCTTGTACTTTGCAAAAAGACAGGGATTCCATGGCATGCATCTCCATCCCTGTTCTCTCCTTTGGAATGGCAAGTTACCTCTGGGCATTTGGAGGAATGTGGATGATCTCTGAAGTGACACATGGTACACCAGCAACTGTTTGCAACCTAGCCAGGAGAGAGGCAAGAGAGATGCTGGGCATTGGTGTTAGTGGACATCTCTCTTTCCCTCTGCTCAAGGACGTAACTCCTGACAGTGAAAAGGATATCAATCGTCTTTCCACCTTCCCCTTTCCACCTTGCATTGGCTCCATCCTCCGGCGGCAGCGGGAAGATCGATGTATGCCCTACAAAAGGTGACTTCCAGGGGCTGCTTGTGTGTTCTCCACTGGGGTTGTAGGGGCCTGAGGTGCCTGAATGGCAGGGAAGGGGAAGCTGGCAGTCAGGACTGAGTGTGGGCTGCCAGGTAACTGCATGCTGGTTGGGTGGTGTTTTGTGTTGGGGTGGGGAAAAGCTGTGGGGAGGGAGCTGAGAATGGGTTGTAAACAGGCCTTAAAAAAGCTGTGGTCTCATATCTCACCTTTATGTCCTTTCCAGCTTGTCCTGTGGCTCCTTTAGCAGCATGGAAGATGCAACAGGTACCATAGCTGAGGCTTTYCCTGAAGGACTTAGTTACAAGGAAGTGGTGGCTGTGGGAAGAGGAGGGTAGGCAGATAACTGTCTGTCAGACTTTTGGTCTGTGCAACTCACTGAGGGCTCCGTACACATAGCAGGGTGCCATGGACAGCAGTGTGCCTCATTAGATTCTGTGAAGTACAGCAGCTAGAAAGCTGGCTTTCCCCTGCAGACYGTGTAGCTATTCACACCTAATTTATTTAATTTATGGAGAACTTCTGTTTATGGAAAATTCCTTTGGAATTGGGGAAGAGTCAGAGCAGATAAATGCTTGTTTTGGTGATGGGCTGTAAATCTCCTGCAATGGATCTCTTGGTGCTGGCACATTTTGTGGTGGATGCTGGTGGTTGAGTTCCTCAGGGCATGTCCAGATGGCTCTGGATTTTGCTGTGACACAGTTTATGATCAAAATGCTGATGGGAGTGGGAAGTTATTTGTTTATTTTAAGGAGTCATGGGAAAACAGTCCTAATGCTTCCCCTCGTCTCTGGGAGTGCCCCTTTCAAGGAGGGTGCCTGTTCAAACCCTCTCTGCAGTTTCACTTTTCTAGTCAGATGCTAGAAAATGCAGGGAAGGGAGGTGACAGACCTCAGCCACCCTGAGAATGTGGGCTCCCTGCAGTGCTTGGAGGGGTGATGTGCCCTTTCTCTCCCTCTTGCTCTCTTTCCTAGGCAGTGGTTTTGCTAGTGTGTCGCTTGGTGCCTTCTCCTCTTCTTCCAGCAGCACCTACACCAGGGTGAAGTCGGAGATCTGCTTGTCCACCCTTCCCAGCCGCAAGGAGGTGACCAGGAGGTGACTACTGCTTTCTTAAATAAGTACTCTTGAGCCTGCTGTTTGGGGGGTGTTTTGCCCCGTTGGGAGACCATGTTTGTTAGGCCATTTCTTTCTCTCTTACTGCTGTGGGCCCTTTTCTGCTAGCAGGAGAGGGAAGAAATGAAGTTCCTATTGTCCTTATTTCCCAGCAGGGCCCCGTTTTTCTGGTCTGTTCCATGTGTTATGGCAGGGAAGAGGATGACATGCTGGACTTGGACGGTTTTGTCTGATTTGAGTAAAGACCCAGAGAGCCTGCACTGTGGCCAGTGGGTTGGAATGATTTTTGGGTGTTCTTAAWTTTTTTTTTTTTTGTGTGCACCCTGGTAATGATTGAATTGTGAGCTCCATACCTCTTAGTACCTGAAAAAATTACTGCCTTGTGGCTGGACAACAGGCATGGGGACAAGTTCCTAAGAAAGACAGTAAACTTCAGTAGTTCAGCTTGGTGTTTTTCCTTGTCAGGTCCCTGGTGGTACAACTCTCTAGCATGGGGCACCCCAGCAATTCATCACCGGAGGAGAAGAGGCTTGCAGCAGATATCTCCATCCTTGGTGGGAACAGGACAGGGATTTATGTCCAGTGGGTCAAGCCAGGTTCACAGGTTGAGAGTGCAGGACTCAGGGAAGGCTGTCGGCTCATTGAGGTGAGTCTGGGAATGAGGTTGCCACAAGGCACCTGAGACACTAGGAGTATGAAACAAGCTCCAATGCAAACTAGACTCTGCCAGCTTGAGGTGCACCTCTGTTTCTCTTGTTCCCAGAGACTACTCCTTATCTACAGCTCTGTGCAGCATGAACAGACATTCAGGTCACTTTGCAGTGCATGTGAAAATGCTAATTTTCTTGGAACACTTCTTTCAGCTGTGGGAGGGGAAGAAACAAYAAAGAGATTCACAAGTTAAGACAGGGATAGGACTGTGTCCCTGGACCTGTCTGTCACTTTATACCATTTTGGAGCAGTTTGCACACTGCATTTTGTGCAAACCTGTTGCAAAGCAATCAATTTTGGAGTGAAATTTTGCAAGCCTTCATGACCCTTTCAAACTACAGAGAATAATTGCTCTGGAGAAAGCACCTGGAGCAGGGAAGGACATTTGTTTTGGCAAGAATGACACTGGCAAGAATGACACTACTTAATATGCACCTAAGACACTTGAATTAATGTCCACCTGTGACTGAAAATAAACCAACCCCATCCTCCCCCTGGACATATACATCTGTGGGCACATATGTTGAGTTCTATAGTAGCCCAGTATCCAGATTTGGCAGTAGTTGGCAGAAGGTATTTCAGACACTTAATGAGGATGTCTTATCCTCAGGTAGAGATTTCTCTGGGCCTGCCTTGGTCTGTATTTCTTGCTTTGGTGGGTGAGAAGTTGGTGGTGGGGAGGAGACTGCTCTTCTAGCAGGCTCTTCTAAAACCATTTGATTCTTGCCAGCTGAAGGTCCCATCGCTGAAAGAAAAGGTGCTTTCCCTGGAGAACTGTACCCGGGAGGTTGCCTACCTCAGCCTGCTGCATTGGGATAAGCCCTCTAATCTTGTCTTTCAACTGGACCTGCAAGGTAAACCCCTGGCAGCTGGGTCTCCCTTAGACTTGGCTCTCTGCCTCCCTTTCCAGGCCCTCCACCTAGTTCTGGAGGTAAATCTCAGACCTTCTTTCTCCTCTCCTGTTTGGTCCTAGACCCCCAGTATGTGACACAGGGATTGGCCATAGTTCTAGTTATTTGTCATGTCTAATGCGATATCTATATCCGCTAAGTTATGACATGGAGGTATAGACCTCTTTCTCTGTTTGCCTCCTCTGTACTCCTATCTCTAGCATCATTTCTGTGCTRGAGATTAGTCGGTCTTGACAGTTTCTCTTGCCAGTGATAGTTACCTCTTGTGTCCCCCTGCCTGTGCTGATGTATCTGTTTTGCTCCAGGATACCAGCCTCTACGTGAAGCCCTGGAGGAAGGGAGGAAGATTTCTGGAGACTCATTCTATGTACGCACTAATCTATCCCTCACGGAGCAGTTGGACCCTTATGCRCTATGTGTCAAGTGTCGGGAAATCCTCCACGTCACAGACACCATGCACAAAGGACGTCTGGAGTGGTTCTGTTCCCGTGTTGATCCTTTGACTTTGCRGGACCTGGACAAGGGGACAGTACCCAATTACAACAGGTAACAGAGTGAGGAGAAAGGTAGGGGGTCCCTGGGTACCTGTTTGATTTCTCTGCAATAAGCATCCACCAGGAGTCCCGAGTGTAGTTTGGCTTTTTCCCATCATTAYAGTGTGAGCCATCCAAGCCTCGTATCAGGAACCAGTGTGATGGTATCTGGGCACCCTTGAGAGAGTGGGTGGTTGAGCAGCGGATTTTATGTGCTTATCCTTCAGCATGTCTCTGAGGAGGCTGCAGAAGAAGATTACAGCAGGCTAAGGTCCTGAGGGCTCTAGAGTTGCTTGAGGACAACCTCTTTGTATTTTCAGGGCCCACCAGCTTTTGAAGATCCAAGAGAAGGGTCAGATGCCTGGGCAGCAGAAGGGCCACAGAAATAATGTAAGCCGGAGAAACCAGCAATGAGAGCTCTGTGTGTGTGTGTGTGTGTGTGTTTCCCTATGTTCACCCCCACACCTCGGCATGCAGTCTACCCTGCTCTGAGAACAGACCAGCTCTTTTGGAGGGGCCAGCTTGGCTAGCAAGCCGGGTGGACTGTTATAGCCCTGCCAACCTCTTTGCTCTGTGATTACTCCCCTACATACTCTCTCTTTCCCAGCCTGAGCCTCATGGTGGGCAGGCCTGATTTCTTTCCATGTGTGCTCCACCTCCTTTCCTGTGTGTCCTCTTCAGTCAGCTGTGTGTGGGGAAAGATCTGTGTTTTCAGCCCTAGTCCCCTTACTTTCTCCTCAGCTAAAAAAGCGGGCCTTGGACCAACTACGCCTGGTAAAATTCAAGACACAGGAGAACCCTGGACAGCCCTCTCAGCAGCTATGGCTGGATCCTTGCTCAGGTGAGCTCTCACCCCTCTAGCAGCCCCATCACCTTTGGAGACCCCGTGTCCTCTGTGGGTACTGAAGGTAAGTTGGCGCCTAGGATACCTCAGCCTCTCTGACCAGAATCTCTCATATTACCCTACTGATGGCTTTTGGGGAAGCCTGAGCATGTTTAAAGCCACTGCTTCTCCCAGACTTTCAGAGGCTCCCCATCACTGCTGCTGTAATTTATGGGGACACCCAGCACATTATGGAGAGAAAGGAGAATAACCTGATATGTAACACCTGTGTTTCCCTAGATGATGGACAAGGAGGGAGTTTATAGATGGGGTATCTACCTATGGGGGAGTAGAATGACCAGTGGAAGATCTCCCCTAAGACATGGGGTTGGTAGGTGCATCCTATCCATGCATCCATGAGTTAGAACTCATAGTGCAGGGAGAACTGCAGGGGTTCTAGACTGATGGCAGTCCTATCTCTCATGTTCTCACCCTTGATTTTTTAACTTCATTCCTCTCTTCCAGACCGAGACAGGAGCCTGAAGCCTTACAACCTGGTACACTCTGTGGTGGTCCAGACACCACGTCCTGTGGTGCTGTCACCTGATTGCATTGCACCACGGCTCATCAGGAACTTGCTGGACTTGCCCACCTCCCGTCTGGACTTTCATGTGTGCCCAGCAGGTAGGTGGCAGTGATCAGTTAACTTGCCCAATGATGTTGTAGAAGCCTGTAGCAAAGTACACAAGTGTTCTACTTTCTGAGGTTATCTTYCTGTTTTGCCTCCTGTGATTCTTCTTCTGAAGAGGCTTTGGTGAATCCAATTCAGGGAAGAGCTGCTGTTAGACCAGGAAGTCTGAAATTCTGTCTCATGGGGCTTGGAGAGGACATGAGGTGTCAGCAGCTAAATTGTGAAGGTCTTACAGTCTTACAGTCTTCCCAGACAATACTTGTCGCCTTTCAGCCATCTGGGCTGACTGGCTCCCAAGAGTTCCCTCCTATGCCTTGTCCCTTTGGCCCATAGGGAAGGGATTCTCAGGCACCAGGGTATTCTGGCTTTCTTTGAGTGGGTGGTGATGGCGTTGTCTTGCTGCTACGGTTGGCTCTTCCTAGATGTGAATCCCCTGGCCAAGATGGTATCTGCAGTTGAATTTCTTGTCCTGCCTTCACTAGGATGAGAGCTTTCAGCCTTCATTATGTCCTTCACTTCATCTGACAGCAGTGTGAGGTTGGCACACAGCTGCAGAGGCTGTGYTTTCTTTTCTTCCATAGAGAATTTTCACATAGGACAAGTATCTATCTTGTTTCTTCTTCCTTCATTTTCCCTGTCCTTCCCTTCTCCTGTATTTAGAATTCTTCCTCTGCCAAATGCAGGAATTAAAAAGGYGAGGGTTTTCTTTTCTGATGGGAGGAGTGGTGAAAAATCTCTGCCTTGTTGAAAAGGGAAGGCTCTGCAAATGTTAATTTCTTCTTTGGGGCTTGATAGCCAAGCAACTGTGCCGTATATCCTGTCTTGCTAGGCCCTCTGCAGGGTCCCCCTCACATTGCATTGGGATCTACTTCAAAAGCTATTTACTGCAGCTGGGGACTTTACGCTGAGACCACAAATTCTGTTTTCTCCTTTCTGCTTTGTGAGGGAAAGAAAGTGGTCCCAGGAGTCCTGAGCCATTTTGCTTTTCAACAGTGCCTGCATTTTACCTCAGAGAAATCCCCCGCAAGTGCAAAGTTAATATAAGGCAGCTGATCTTCAGCAGGAGCTTGCTGACCCCAAGGAAAACAGATAGCTTTTGGGAGGCAGCTTTACCAGGGAACCAGACCACTCTATGGCCAGGCAGAGTTAGCAGAGGATACCCGGCTGATCCTGGGAGGTAGAGAGTGGAATTCCAGACATGCCTTATCTTGAAGAGACTACATTATTTCTGATGTAAAGATGAGAGGCAACGGCAGCCTTAAAAGCCTTATTAGGGCTCCTGGCTCATGTTATGTTCATTCATTCTGGAGGTGGGTGGTGTGGACAACTGCCTAGGACAGTGGGCAGCCAGCAGGTAGATCCCAGTGCTGCTCATGCTGAGTGGCTCAGCCTGCTGCTCCTGAGTGAGATATGTGTGTGCAAGTGTGTCTTGACTTCTGATGATTTGACCCTGCTAGACTCTGCTGTCCAGGTGGCCTCTAAGGCTCTGCTCCCAGTTTTCTGTTTCAGCCTCACCTTTCTGCTGCTCTCCTGCCTGGTGTAGAGATGATCTGGGCCCATGTTATCTCTGGCCTTCTGTTAAAAGCACAGCTCTGTTTTCCTCTGTGGGATGAGAAGCTTTGAGGTGGGTCTCTTTGGGCACTAGCAACACTTAGCAGCTGGTCAGCCCATCAGGACTCATTGAGAGCCTCTAAAAAGTTTGCAGGCCCTGCAGCTCAGTGACCCTGTGCTGTGTCTCGGGGCTCACCTGTGAGCACTGGGAGATGGCTCCATAATCAACCAAAGGGGGTTCAGCTTGCCCCCCGTATCCTTTCTTTTCTCCCATACCAACATTCGCGCTCCTGCTATTTCCCTAGCCCTGCTRCTCGCTGGAGCCATCTGTGAGCCCATGCAGATCACTAACCCTGCAGAAACCTTATCAGGCAAAATAAAGCGATTAGTTTTTTGCTGGATTATGTTGGAAGCAGTTGCAAGGTGGGAACAGAACAGTGTGGCAGCAGGGAAGGTGGGGATGAGAGCTGTGGGCTGGCTTAGGCTGCTGCAGTACTGCAACACAAAAGCTGCTTTTGCTCTGCAAGGTGTCTTTAGCTATGATATGTTGCTTGTTCAGTAAGCAGAAAGCTGCAGGAGATCCATGCCAACATGTAATGCTGTATAATTAGACTCGCTCTGCAGAATCTATGAACAGTGAACTCGATAAATATCAGCCCAGCAGCAAATCTGCAGGTTCAGAGGTAGAAAGTATATGCAGGGGGAAGAAGTGGATGTTATCTCCATTTTCAGATTTCCCTTTCCTCTTGGCTTGCAGAGAAGCTGGCAGAAGGGCATCCCAACACTACCTGTGCTAAGGAGGACCCCGTGTCTAGAAGTTCCCCCCAGGATCAGAGGGAGCCTGTGCGAATCCACATGATACGGGAGRCAATGGAGAAGGTGCTGAGCTATTCGGTGTGGAGAGAGAGAGGACAAGAATGAGACATCCTGGCAGGACAGGATCTCTGCCCCCTCTAAAGAGCGGACAACAGAAGGGAGGGAAAAGGGAGAAGAGCATTGAGAGAAAAAGACTTGCTTATTTGAGGGGGTGAGRGGAGTGGCTGTGTGATTGGAGGGTATTTTAGGTCCAGATGTTGTGGGGCTATGAAGCAATAGGCTTCTCCTGAGGTTTTGGTCCATCCTGGTGAGAGGAATGGCAACTGGGGATATGTGGGGGAGGTGATGGGAGATGCCTTAGGCTGAAGCTGCCTTCCTGCTTTTGCATTCCTCATCTTYGCCAAGGTGGCTATGGCTCTGCTCAGGTCCCATAGAGAAGATCTGGGGCTGTGGGTGATGCCGAGGAAGGGATGTGAAGATAGACTGGCTGAGCAGGGGGTCTGGTGGGCTCTTGGCTGTGATATAGTGGATGACCCTGTTCTTCAATTCTCTGCTTCCCTCTTGGCCTCAGCTGTAAATTCCGCATTTAATGGAATTACTATCGGAAAAGCAATGATATTTCACAGTATGGAGTTTGATTTAATGTAACTGTCAGGAACTGGGGTTATTTCTTCTCCATTTAAATCAGTAAATCTATTTGATTTCCTTCCAGAATAAACACTGCCTGCTAGAGCTCGGAGTTCAGAGTGTGAGGGATCTAATTAGAAGTGAAATATACCCCATTGTTATCCATGTCGAGGTCACAGAAAAAAACATTAGAGGACTCAGGTAAGAAGAGACCATTAAGTATGGATGGAGAATATTATCGAAGAAAAGAGAAATCCTTATCTCTATTTAAAGGATGAGACAAAAGACCCTTCGGGAGTACTAACTCTGTGTGTGTGTGTGTGTGTGTGTGTGTGTGTGTGCGTGCCAGGTGAGATGCAGTGGGAAAAGAGCAGGAGAACAGCTTTGTATGTGTGAGTTCTTGTAGGGATCCAAGTGGAAGCTCTGGCATTTTTCCCACCCCATCTCTTTACACAAGGATAACACACATCCCCCTGTTTCCTCAGGAGCTTGCTGAGGAAGCCAGGCCCACGGGACTCGGAGGTGCTGAAGATGTGCCGTGGGGCGGAGCAGGTGCTTCGTGCTCTGCCGTGCTCTTGGGCCCGTGTGGATCCCCAGGCCTGGAATCATGTGGAGGAGCTGACCAAGGTGGTTCGGGGCTGCATCTTTCAGGAACAAACCCGCCCGCTGTGGATTGAGGAGGGTGACGACTGAGCTGGGACCTAGCAGAGCTGGCGCTGCGCTGCCAGCCACCTTTCCCAAGARCTGTTCTCAGAGGCCTTTTCTTCCCTGAACTCTGTTAGGCAAAGTGTCCTTTCTCCTCAAGGGGATGCCACCAATGGATGCCCTTGGGGTATTATTTCAGGTGCCTTTGAGGCCGTGCAGAGCTGAGGAGTAGTAACACATTCTAACTCCTCAGCCTGAGTTTTCCATGTTTTATTGGAGAGATGTCTTCTGCCTTTATACTGGACACCACTCATGGTCTATTCCCCATCCCCATGGTTCTGGTACCTGGTCAGGCTGACAGATCAARCTCTTGAGGGAACTATGTGAAATCAGGGCGTACAGAAGTGCATAATGTACACCCATGGGCACTCACACATGTGCATACATCCACCCTGGCTTTTGGTACTTCTAAGGCCCTTTTCTCGTCACTTCTGCCTTCCCTTGCCTGTAGCGCTGTGTGCTGTGGGTCCTCACCCCCCTTTCTCTCTCTACCTCACCTCCTGCCCTGAGGAGCAGGAAGCAGTGCTTGGCTGCAGGCACCTCAGCACAGCCAGAGTGACACTAAGTGGGTTTTGCGACACATCCTCGATTTATGGGCACTGTACTCTTTATTGCTTGTAAATTATTAATGGACCGATTTATTGGCAACCCACATGTAAAGGAGAATTAAATACCATTTATAATGGGAATAGGAGGTGGAGTGTGAGTTTATGTGTTAATGGGAAGGGCTTGTTGATACCAGAAATGCATGGTGTTCCTTTTCCTGAGGCTCCTTTGCACAGCTGCCTAGGGCAGAGAGGGAGTACTGCTCTTATTGTGCTTTTGCAAAAGGTGCTGTGGTGGGTTAGGGGGTTTAGAACATACCACAGATCAAGCTACCTCCTGTYTCTGGTCTCTGCCAACCCACCTCTTTTTTGGTCCTTTTCCTCTCACTTTCCCCTGTGCTGAGGCTGGCAAGCAGCTGTGCTCTAGGAAAAGAGCTTCACAYGCCTGGCTGAAGACCCCAGATCTCTGTGTGCCCCCGTGCCCTGGTTACTATGGAGTACCAAGCCAGCTGCCTTCACCATCTGGGGAACAAGGTGCTTTCACAAGGCCTGGGTCCCTTACCATGCTGCCTGGGCCTGTTCTCACCCACACCTGGGGCTGACCATGRCTTCAGGCTCTGACAGAGGGAAGGTATGAAGGGTTTGGGAAGGGCATAGTATTTGTTCACTGCAACAAGCTCCTGACTCATTACCAGGCAGAGTTATCAGCTGCCCTATGGAAAAGGGGTGCCAAGAATACCCCTACCAGAGAGAGGTGGGGGTTGGTCTTGGGGAAATTGTCTTTCCTATGAAAGGAAGGGGCCAATGGCTCTGGGAGGACCTATGGGGTGGGAAACGGGGCATAGGGCTGAGCCTATTGCTCCTAGTGTAATGGGAGAAGATGGGCTACCCCTGCTAGAGAGTCAGGTCTTCTCTGTGTCTTCCTCACCTCTGTGATCGGGACACTGCTAATGCCACACGCTTCTGAAGCTCTGAGCAAAGATTAACTTGCTGATCTTCATGGGTCTCCTGTGAGGTGTTATTTCAGGCTGTAAACCAGTTGCCTGTCTTTTATGAGGATGGGAGGAGGGGGAGGAAGGGAAAAAAAAAAAAAAAGAATTTAACCTAGAGTCACTGAAATGTAGAGCAATGTCCCAGAGCTGCCCTGGAGCAATGCAGCTATGCTCCCGGAGAAGTGGGGTCTGGTGCAACACACAGCTSCCGACGAAAGCTCCCAGGTGACATCCATGCTAGGGGACACAGCCCCAGCATCCCAGCACTGCCGGCTCTGTGGGAGGGTGGTTGCCCTGCAGGCAAACAAAGCAGACCTCTTGTTGATCAGCAGAGAAGACAAGTCCCCAGACAAGCTCCTCTCCACCAAGGCATGGATTTGCAGAGGATGAAGAATAAAGAGATTAGATTTCCCTGCATCTTTTCAAGGGGAAAAAAAAAAAAAAAAAAAGCAGTGCATAAGTAGTAAAGGAAAACACCCCCTGTGAGGCACACTGATTCAAAGATAGGCAGCTCTATATGATACCTCCTGGGCCTGAGAGGTTCCTTTTGGACCAGGCTGGGTGTTGTTAAATGGCAGCCTCCTCTTCTGGGTAAACGGGCTGTGTCCCCTGTGCCAGAGGGCTGGCAGCCTGCTTGGAGACTGCTCGATCCCTGTACAACATCCACCCCAAGCACYTCCGTGGGCCACCAGCTTTGGCACCAGGAGGGAAACTGAGGCAAAGAAAGGTTGACCTCAGGAGCAGTCCACTGGGGCAAGGCTTGCATTTGCCATCTCTCTAACGCTGAGGCAGCACTGCCTAGCCTGCCCCCAGCCTTCTTCCAGCCCTGCTTATTATCCCTGTTGTCCAGCCCAGAGACCTACAGAAATCTCACTTAAGCTAGTTCTGGACATGGGGCAAGAAATGGGGCAGGGGGCTCTATGATAAACCCTAATGACTCCCCTACCTTGCCCTGCACACCCCAGCCCACCTTATTTGTATCCCCGAGGGCTGACTGCCTGCTCAGAGGGAATGAGTCATGGGTTAGGTAACAGGCAGAATGCAATTAGCAGCCCTGGGCACCAATTACCAGCTGTAACAGCCTTGTACAAGCCCCTGTAAAGAGTCATTGAGAGCAAATTTTCTCCCTCCAGGGAGGGGACCAGCAAGGTGGCATGCGTGTGTCACTGTGGGAAGTTGCCAGCGTTTTCCATGGAGGCTGCCCCAGCTCCTGGCACAGCTGTGGTAACATGGGGATCTCTCCCCGCTGCCTGCAAGGTGTGGGTCAACCCCTTTGCAAGGTAGGGCTGGGCACCAAAGGGTTTCTGCCCCCTAGAAGCAGCTCTAGCAGAGCAGGCTCGTGGCTGTAGGGTAGGTGAGCACGGTGCCATTTCCACCAGGACAGTGGCAAATGCTCCTGCAACCTGGGGCTGCAGAAAAAAAAGGGAAGAAAGAGCGAGGCTGCACTCACTTTCAGCTTCAGACATGCTTTGGTTTGTACACAGTCGGGTCTGACCCAGTCCCCTGCCTAATACCCTGCTCTATTTGTATTTGAATTATATTTGCAGCTCCCAGAGGTCTCTTGTCTCTTGTCTCTTCTGAGGGACATTATTAAGGCTGTTCTGCCTGTGTCCCCCTTCCGCTCCCAAATGGCCTCCTTAGCCAGGGCTGGGAGATGCTGCAGGATGTCTGGGAGCTATGGAAGCTGCTTGGGGTTGCAGGCACAGGGCCAAAGCACTCAGAAAGGTTAATTCCTCGTTGAGAAGCGGTGACTAGTCACGGCAGCAATTACAGTATTTAGCACAGAGCCAGTCAATCAGTCATGCTAGTTGCAYATCCCCACAGTAATGTAAGGCTGGAAGGTGAATGACATAGCTCCCCCCTCCCCCAAGCAATGCAAAAAAGTCTTGCTATTCAAAGGAATCTAAAAATAAAATCTGTAGGGACCCCACAAAGGGACAAGGAAGATGCTCCGAAGATGTTCTTGCTTTAGGGAGAGACTGTGAGCCTTGCAGGCTTGGAAACCCAGAAAGCACATGGCAGAGAGAAAAAGAAAAGTATTCAGTGGGTTCTGCCTTAAAAAAAGAGAAAGTTGTAGCCAAGGACAAGGCTGAAAGTGTTTGCATAAGGCCTGGGGAAGCTGAGCACCTGTCTTCAGTTCTAGAAGATCGTTCCTGTTCTCCCATAGCATGCGTGTTTTCAGACACACAGCTGGAGTGTGGGACAGAGTGACCCTGATCCCTGCCCTGACACTGTTTTCTAAGTCCCCATATGCATGCAGTGAGCAGCAGAAAGACAGGAGGGTCCTTGTCCTGTGGTATATTCCGGGAGCCACGTCCCCTCCACTTCAGTCTTTCCTCCGTCTCCATATTATTATTATTATTGGTATACTTAGATTTGATACTCACAACTAGCAGTTCCCTAGGGATGCGCCCTGATTTCAGAAGCTTATGTAGAGCACTATCATCTTGCTGTCCTCACACGTGCTTCAGCACCGAAGCTGGGATGGGGGTGTGCACGTCACTCCAGCCCTGCAATCTCTCTGTACCCGCTGACTGCTCTCTGAAGGGTCCTAAAGATACCATGAAGGAATGGCAGGGGATCCTAGCAATCACCCAGGAAAGGTGGAGCAAAAAGAYGGCCCTGCCAGTTTCTTGCTCTGTCTGTGAGACTCAACAGGAGGAGAGGAGACCAAACTGGCCCAGGTTATGGGAAAAGGAGAGAGCACCTTRGAATGCCCAAGAGCCAAAAAGGACAAGCTGCTGAGCTGAAGCCTGCTGGAGGGCACTGGGAGGCTCGGAGCAGCAGATTGCAGCATGGTTTGGGGATAGCACTTGGACTGTTGTGTCAGAGAAAATGGGCACGGCAAACCCAGGGCCTGGGTGCCTGGACTTCAGGAAGACCACGGTTGTAAAGAGTTCCCCACTCTTGTAAAGAGCSTTCTGTTTCTCTTGAATCCACTGTGTGCAGATGAGTGGTGTCTGCTTCTGTGTTGAGGGTGGCCCTAGGAAATCCCACCATCCTTAATCCTCTGTGTAAGGAAAGGCTGGCAAACTGTTCCTTTCTGGGACATGCCATGGTGTGGCCTTAAGTTTCCACTACAGATCTATCCCTGTCCCCTAAGTCAGGATCCCTTCCCCAGTGCCTGCTGTGTCTGACACAGCCTGACAGTCAAAGCAGCCACCGAGCTCTCCTCCCTCCTCCCCTTGCTTTACACTCGGACTGCTTTGCTTCCCAGTCCACACAGTGGGTCTGGGTCTCCAGTGAAGTAGGAGAAGCAAAGCCAGGCTTGGCCAGTTGGGTGAAAAGGGGCTGGAAGGGATCATCCTTCCCAGTGGTTGCAGAAGCTAAGGGGAGGTGAGGAGCTGGGTGGGATATAACCCAGCAGGATACAAGGGCRTCCTGCAGCACAGACACTGAAAGGAGGCCCCAGGGCTCCCTTCTCATTTCCTGGTGCCTCTGTGCTATTGCTGTGAGTGTCACTGCCCTCCGGCTACAGCCACATGCCCTGAGTGTGTGCAGACACATGTATTCTCTCAGGAACAGTTCGGGATCCTACCCTTAGCTGTGCTTGCTTTGCTCCCTCTGCCCCTCAGCCTGCATCCGGCTCCACCCTCCCTTTTCTATGCACCAGCAAAAGGGCTGCGCGGGGCTCGCACCCACGTCCTGCCTCCCCTGCGAGGCAGGAAACCCCTCTTGCACCCAGAGACTGAGCCACAGCTAYGCGACAAGCTTGTCCTTGCAGACCAGCTTCCTTGTCACCCCACAGGGCTCCCAGTCTGAGGATGGCAACCCTYGCACTGCAGATGCACAAGCCCACTCTCGGACTCAGAGGCACCCCCCTTCTTCTTCCATCTCCCTCTCTCCATCCTCTTCCTCCCCAGGGGCCGGCGCTCCGCCCCGTGCCCGGAGGCGGGACGGGGCCGGGCTGGCAGCCAGCAAGGGCAAGCTGTACACAGCGGGAGCAGGTGGTGGGGCAGCGCTGCCGTCCCCGATCCGTCGCGTGGCACCTGGCCCTGCTGCCCCGCTCCAGGCRCTGGCCTCCACCCCTGGCTTGGATGCGTAGGCTGGCGTCTGCTGGGGACCAGGCGGCTTCGGTCCAGACTTCTCTCACTGATGGAGCCAGGCTCTTTTACTC